AGTACGCACGCGTCTTTCACGCAGCATACAGCGGTGTTGTGCATTTTGACCAGTTGATGGGAAAAGTATTCTTAAAATGCATTCAAAATTCTGAATAATTTGTAATATATAATTATTCACGGTATTTAGAAGTGCCCACGATAACAATATCGTGCATATTCATTACCGTGATATATCGCATTACAGAATACCGGCACAAGTCTAACACACACACACATATATATACATACAGAATATACAAAAATATAATTTTATTTTATCCATCCATTCATCTATCCACATATTATTTTAGGGTGAATCTCATGAAAACATGCATGCATCAGCAAAGAATAAAAAAATAATAATTTATATAATGCAAAATGTAATATTTTCTTTCTGATGCATGCATGTTTTTGTGAGATTCACCCTAAAAGACTGTGTGTACTGTATATACTATCATAAGCACGAGTCAGACTCACCTAGAGCTGGGAGTTGGTCTCCTTTTAGGAGGTGGAGGAAGTGGTTCCTCCATCCAATTTCCAGGAGCGGATGTGGAGAAGAGACGGAAACCTTCAGAAAATTACAGGAAACATGCCTCAGCTGAATATCTGGATTTAATATAGCTGCAGTTGTGGATATTATCTACATTACTGTACATCTGTCAGATGTTCATGTTTTCATGAAAGCAAAAATGACTATTTGCTTACTTTCTTGATCCTCTTCATCTCTGTTTTTGGACTGACCAGGTTTGGAGTCAACAGTTTCAGAAAAAACTTCTGAAATACACCTGAAGTTGAGTGCATTTGTAAAAGAGAGTGAGCGAAAGAAACTACTGACTGACAAGCTGAAGTAAAACGTAATGACAAAGATACTCAAAGATAACAGTTCTTGTAGTAGTTATAACAGTAGAAATAACAGTCCTTGTGTCTCACCCGTCCAAAAAGGCTCCTAACTTTTTTGCCACATGGGACTGAAATTCTGGTGTTGTCCCGAGCTCATTCCCATCATGTTCATGCTTTGAAACATCGGTTCTGTGTGACAAAGTTAACCAAATTCATCCCACAAATACAAGAACAACTGTAATCTAGTATTAAAATATGAGTATGTTCACACTGACATCTTAAAAAAAGATTGTCATGGTCTGACTGTTACAAAGGTCAACTCACCTCTGACTTCGTCTGCTGGGGCTGCTGTCTCCATCTGTGAGGCAAAACCAGCACTGAGTAAGACCTGAGGTGCCCGGATAAATTAACAGCAACTGATTTTATTCTTATTTAATTGATTTGTATTACTGTACTGATTAGTGAAGTAACATCATCCGCTAATTAAGAACATCTTGAATAGCTACTTACAGTAAGGACAAGAAGCTCCGCCGTCTCCATTCATCCTGCTGCCATCATGTGGTCGAAAGCTCCACACCGCCTCTTTCAGTCTATCGGAGTTTTCATCTTCACTGCTGCTTTCAGACATTCCCTAGGGGAGGCTTGTTTTCAGTAAGCAAATAAAAGAACAGTCGTTTGTAGCTATTACACTGAAGTTAAGACATGTGTAGATACTAAGAATGAAGTTGGTTTAGATTGGCTGACAGTGAGGTGCACAGCCCCAGCAACTACAACAAAAACTAACAGTCAGTCTGTTAAAATACTAACACGTCTGCTTCAGACGAACGCAAGCAAAAACAGGAGCACTTCACCAATGCACAGCTACAGCGAGGTCCACATGTTTTCACAGTCCCGCGATGTAACAGCGACCATTACGTGATTTACCGCCCCCTACCGTCCCGGAGCTGCAGCTCCGCATGAGGAAACCTAACTTACATAAACCTAGCAAACCAGTGTTATTTTAGGATCACAGATACTATTATAGTTTTTAATAATATTTTGAATTAGTTTTAATTTTTATATATATATTTTTTACTTTAAACGTTTATTCATTCTTTTTTTGTTTTGTTTTGTTTTTATTATTTTTTTACTTTGGTTTTAGTAGTTATTTTAGAAGGCTACATCAAGTTAAACTTAATTAAAATGAGAAATGTTGCTTGGCAACTATAGCTGAAATAAAATCTTTTAAGTTTTTATTTTATTCCAGTTAACATTTTTATTTTATTATTATAGCAACTATAAAAGCCTTGAAACAAACAAATCTTTTTTAATAAGCACTAATCACTTTGATAACTTTACAAAAACCTGCAAAATAAGATCAATCTCAGTCACTGTTAAAAAAATAAAAATTGAAGTTGTAAATAACAAAAAATAATGTTTTACAAGACAAGACTATTTCAGTCTTTCTACTTTAAAAAGTTATTGTTACTTGTTGCTTGCTGTTTCTTTGTGAAAAACTGTTTCTTTTTTTCCATATATAGTTGAGTGTTCAAATACTTCTATTTATTAATTTAAATAAGTCAAACAAACACATTTTTAAAAACATTTTTATGGAATCTTTTTGCCAGAATTTTTGGAAGTACAATGAAAGCCAAGTATACAGGCTATATAGTAAACTACACTGTAAAGACTAAATTTGCATGTGTTCCACAGTTTTACATTTCTTTAGAAATGACAAAGAACTATAATGTTAAAACCAAAACAAAAGCAAGTAATACACAAAGTTGAGATGCACTGTATGCACATAACTGAACATTTGTGATTCAGTAGGCTACTGGAAGGCACATAATATTGACAATATTTTTTATAATAGCCTATTATACATCAGTTTATCACGTTTCATATCAGTAGTCATCATCCTCATCCTCACTGTTGTATTCGTCAGAACTGTGATCATTATAGCCTTCAGAATACTTGCCAACAAACCCCTCATCACTGCATGCAGAGTTGTCTTCCTCATCATCATGACTATCTTCTTCCCCGTCCTCCTCATCAGACCAATCTTCCTCCTCATCAGACCCATCTTCCTCCTCATCAGAGCCATCTTCCTCCTCATCAGACAATCTTCCTCCACATCAGACCCATCTTCCTCCACATCAGACGCATCTTCCTCCTCATCAGACCCATCTTCCTCCTCATCAGACCCATCTTCCTCCTCATCAGAACTATCTTCCTCCTCATCAGACTAGTCTTCCTCCTCATCAGAGCCTTCTTCCTCCTCATCAGAGCCTTCTTCCTCCTCATCAGAGCCATCTTCCTCCTCATCAGACCCGTCTTCCTCCTCATCAGACCAATCTTCCTCCTCATCAGACCAGTCTTCCTCCTCATCAGACCCATCTTCCTCCTCATCAGAACCGTCTTCCTCCTCATCAGAACCGTCTTCCTCCTCATCAGAGCCATCTTCCTCCTCATCAGACCCGTCTTCCTCCTCATCAGACCAATCTTCCTCCTCATCAGACCAGTCTTCCTCCTCATCAGACCCATCTTCCTCCTCATCAGAGCCATCTTCCTCCTCATCAGAGCCGTCTTCCTCCTCATCAGACCAGTCTTCCACCTCATCAGACCATCTTCCTCCTCATCAGAGCCGTCTTCCTCCTCATCAGACAAATCTTCCTCCTCATCAGACCCATCTTCCTCCTCATCAGAGCCATCTTCCTCCTCATCAGAGCCGTCTTCCTCCTCATCAGACCAATCTTCCTCCTCATCAGAGCCGTCTTCCTCCTCATCAGAACCGTCTTCCTCCTCATCAGACCCGTCTTCCTCCTCGTCAGACCAGTCTTCCTCCTCATCAGAGCCGTCATCCTCCTCATCAGACCCGTCTTCCTCATCATCAGACAAGTCTTCCTCTTCATCAGAGCCGTCTTCCTCCTCATCAGACCAGTCTTCCTCCTCATCAGAGCCTTCTTCCTCCTCATCAGAGCCATCTTCCTCCTCATCAGACCCGTCTTCCTCCTCATCAGACCAATCTTCCTCCTCATCAGACCAGTCTTCCTCCTCATCAGACCCATCTTCCTCTTCATCAGAGCGTCTTCCTCCTCATCAGACCAATCTTCCTCCTCATCAGTCCAATCTTCCTGTGAAAAAACTGTGAAGTTGATTTGAAACCATCTCTACTGTATAAAGGGGACTTGACTGTACCACAAAGTCGTTACAAGTGAGAAACTACAGATTTTCAGTTTCTGTATTAATGGTACATTTTTTCAAATACATTTTTTTTTTCATTTACAATAAAACTAAGCTTCTAAAATACCATAGAATGTATAACCATTTAAACACCCAAAACACACTAATAATTTTGTAGATGAAGAGTTCAAAAATCTTGTTCAATGTAGAAAAGGTATATCAGCATCTTGCTTTGACCAAAGTGATTTGAACGCACATGACATTGTAATTACATTTACCCAAATTGTAAATACTAACTTCCCAGGCAGGAGGACTTGAATGCACCAATAGGACAGTGAACTTTTTAGTAAAATATGACAAATGCCCTGACCTTAGCATGGATGTGTTGCCTCTTGAATCGTTCATTGGGTTGTCATTTTTCAGGGAGATATAACTGGTGATTGGTGATGTCTCTCTTTTTCTCTTAATCCTGTGAATTTTTTTTTTTTAAACATATAGTTTTGGAGCATGTCAATGTATGTGTAAGGTAAGGTTAGAAACTGACACTGTTATAAAAACATTTTCATTCATTGCTTTAAAATTATTATTTCAGAAAATGGCTTTATATAGTATTTAAGTAAATTTCACCTTGAATGCAAAGGAAATGTCTCTCCACCTTTGAAGTTGGTTGGTGGATCCATTGACCAGTCTGTCCTCATTGACAGATAGCTGGATGTTTGAGAAGCTGCTCTCTTTGACTTACTAAAGAGAGAGAGAGTCAGGTCAAACAGAACTGTGCAAATAAACGTTCATATTTGCATAAGTTGTAATATTAATTAAAATGTTTTGCTTTATCAGCAAACATGGCACATATGCTGATAGGCACCAATTTTGCCCCTAGCAAAACTCCCATTTCCCTTGGGTTGTAGTTGGTAAATAAGATATAACTTGGCACCAGAAATGGTTGTTTAGGCACATGCAAGATTTTATTTATAGTAAATATAAAATGGGTAGTTGTCCTTAAGCATAAAATGGAAAGATAGGTTGTTTACCTTTTGTTTTTGCATTCACTTGGTCGTTCTGCAAAGTTATTGGCAGTGCTTTCAGACTCTGATCTCCTTCGTTTGGATTGGCTTGAAATCAACATTACAGCATGATTTGTAATCAAATAACATTTCTTTTAACAATAATAAATTAACTAAATATTAACTATACACTTCAAGATACTTCGTTTTAAAACAGTGTTGAATACTGAAAAATGGAGAATTTTGTGCACATTTTAAAATCACGTTTTTTTAAGACACATGTTCTTTACAGGCAGACAAACTTATGAGACCTGTGAGTATAGAAAGACAAGCACGCAAACATGAACAGATGTTGTATGACTGCAAACCAAAAGAGTAACTCGTCTATTATTGACGATATGAAGAAATCGAAACTTAGTGGTTTTCATATTATAAACCTGTAAAACGAAGCAATGTGGGAACAGGAGTGAGAGAGGAATTGAAACACTTCTCAAAATGTTTATATGAATCAGTATACAGGTGCATCTCAATAAATTAGAATGTCATGGAAAAGTTCATTTATTTCAGTAATTCAACTCAAATTGTGAAACTCGTGTATTAAATAAATTCAATGCACACAGACTGAAGTAGTTTAAGTCTTTGGTTCTTTTAATTGTGATGATTTTGGCTCACATTTAACAAAAACCCACCAATTCACTATCTCAACAAATTAGAATACTTCATAAGACCAATAAAAAAAACATTTTTAGTGAATTGTTGGCCTTCTGGAAAGTATGTTCATTTACTGTACATGTACTCAAAAATTTGGAGTTGGGATAACCTCCAAACCAAAGCCGATAGCTACCTTTTTAAAAGCTCATTATGTTCAAATGTTTCTAAAATGCTTATATTCCGAGGTAGATTGCTGGCAACAGCCATTTTAGTATAGTTCAGATTTGGTCTTATGACTTTGGAGTCCTCTTCACTACTCCTAACGTTTCACAGATTTAGGAGCTAATTTTAGCGCTAAAACGCTTTGTGAAATACTCTTAGAACAAAAATGTAGGAGTCCTAAATTTAGGACTGACACGCCCATTATTTTTAAGATTTTTTTAGCCTTAATATGCTTTGTGAATACGGGCCTGGGCCCGTATGTATAAAACTCCTCAGAAATGCTCTTAAGAATAGTCTTAAGCTTTGACTTAAGTGTCAAAAAATTCTTAGTAAGAAGTAGGTTTAGCTAAACTGTTAAAATACAAAGGACAAAAAAAAAAAACACTGACCAGTGTTGCCAATTGCTTTCAATTGAAAGAAGCTAAAACTGGTCACTTAATGTTGCTAGATGACCTCATAAAGGTGAGTTCACTGATCTATATTTATATTTATATAGATCAGTGAACTCACCTTTATGACGTCATGGGAGAGTCTCGGAATGTAGATAACATTTGTCCAAGAAATTGATTTTGTTGGTAGGTTTTTGAAAAAAGTCTCTAAAGGGATGAGGAAGTCACTAAATCTAGTGACAAAATCACTAAATTGGAGCCACTACTATATGGCAGTTTATTGAATTTTCAACTGACTGCCAAACCATACTGCAAAAACAAGCCACTTTTGTGAGGATTGTGGGCTTTCCTGGAGTTATTGGAGCCATTGATGGAACTCATGTTATTGGCTGATTCAGAGGTCGAGGTCGGCCATTTTGTGTTTACATCATTGTAGTTCACAACACTTAAGTGTCACCTCAGCCAACACTTAAGGATCAGTCTTAGACTTTACTGAAAGTTGCTTTTAGCGTCTTTATAAAAG